CACACACACACACACACACACACACACACACATTCACACACATTCACATAATTAGGGTATTAATTTAAAAGAGATTTTCATTAAACATCTTTCTTATATTTGGGTGATTTTCAAAAATCAAGAAAATGGAATATTTCCTGGGGTTGTACAAAACAAGGTCTTTTATTAAATAGTTTTCTAGTATGTTCTGCATAATTATTAAGGGTATTATTTTCTGCATTAAGATATCCTACCAAGAGTACTACTTTGCTTGTTTTCCTTATAGTATGATGGCCTGCCTTTCTCTACTCACACAACTGATTGATTCTTTTTATATAAATATTTCTTCATTTGGAAATAAGCAGAATTATATTTTCACATGATGTCTAAATGCAGATTTTCTTGTTATAATTGACAATTTTAATAACTTATTGGGTATGAAAATCATCAGGCATGCTGTCTTTATTCCTTTACTACAGCAGTAATGTCACCAGGCATGTGTTCAGAGTCCTAACATTCCTTAATGCAATATTATTAAATAATTGGATATAAATATATGTTTGAACTTTAAAAGCCATTGCATATCATGGAAAGGGAATACTATGATAAAGATGTTTATAGTGTTTGGGGGCTAAATCCTAATTTTAAATAAATATATGGGGCAATTTGTAATTTCTACTAATCCAACTGTGATGCAGTTTTTATTTGCTGCTTTTTTTGGTTCTGATCTATGGAGATCATGTAGATAGAAGAAATTAGTTTTATTATTTTAAATTGCATATCTAAAGTTAATACATTTAATGAAAAGAACCATTTTTCATTAATATAGTTAAAGAAACAGCAAGTTTGATGGTAGAAAAAGAGTGTTCCTGTTAAATTTAGAAATTACATGAGTAATATTTATAAAAATGCCCCTGTGAAATAATTACAAATGTATTAGAAAATACATTTTTGTAAAAGTAGGTAGATGATTAATTTGTAGTACTAATGAAATGAAAAATTAATGTGGCTCAGTTCCTTTTTTTCTCCTAAGAATATGTGTTAGGAC